GGTAGTTTGTTTGCATGATAAATGCTGTAAATATTAGCCGTGTTTTGCAATCGAAAATCAAAACGTGTTTTTGTAATTTAAATTAACAAATGTAATACCTTTTAATGCATATACATCAAAAAGGCGATAGGTACTAACTGTAGGCATGCAGTATAGAATCGAAAGGCCTGGTATAGCTACGCTTGGTGTCTGAGGGAGCATTCTAGTAACATCACTAACAAGGAATACCCACACTGATAGCACGAGAGATTTTGGTATTCTTGATAATACTCTTTAAATACAGAATGTGGTTGTTATGACCGATTTACTATAGAGATCTGGATCTGATAAGATTTGTCATTTAGGCATCTGAACTCAGTTTGCCGAAACGACTTGAATTTTTACAATATCTTATATGTTTTTCTTGTAAAAACATGTATGTGTGCTTCTGTATTGCAGTAAAGCGGTGCCGCTTCAACAGTTGAATTTCCAACGCGTAAAAAATATTGTAATTCTCTTGTGTTTGATGGATTTTTTTTCCAAAAAAAAGCGTTTATTTTAGCACGAGAGATTAACATGGATACTGTTGGCGAATTGCTAATTGCGTTTTTTGCGTACTACCGCAATTTCGATTTTGCGACGAAGGCAATATCGATAAGTAGGGCACGAGTGTTTGACAGGTTTTGTTACTTCCATACATTTTCTCTTGGTTTTTCGGAAAAAAATAGCTTCACAGCCGCTTAGGTTGAACAAATCTTCTTAACCAGAGAAAGTACAAAACACGTGGGAATGCTGGAGCAGGGTAAATTTTCCTCATTTACGCAGTTGGCAATTTTTCTGCCTCAGCAGTTGTTTTGACCAATATTTCATCGCCAAGTGACTGATGCGCTCGGTTTCTCATACACGTCGATATATTAGATTTTACAATTCAGGCAATCATTCCGGTAGATGTGAATCCATCTTGGTCCCCGAACTTCACTTTTTTTTGCCATTCTTGCAACTTTATCATTTTTTCAGAAAAATTTTGCCCTATTCTACGGAACATTTTAAAATATACATCGAGGAACCATTTGATGGGCGGAACTCGGCACGCTGTGTTACT